AGAAAATTGGAAATGAAATCTGATTAGAAAGCGATGGTATCGGGCCCGTGTTTTGGTTCCGGTGCACGGTACAGGTCTTATATATGTATTAAGTCCTTCCACTAAAATTTGGTTGAAAACGGACGTCGTTTGACGTGATTCGGACTTGAAATCCTAAATTTGAAACTTGATGAAGTTTGAGGAAAATTCTTGATTTTGAGGTTTCATTCATTGTTTTTGAGGTTATTTAGGCGATTTGATCGCACAGATAAGTTCGTATGATATTTTTGAGTTAGTGCATGTGTTTGGTTAGGAGCCCCAAGGGCTCGGATGTGTTTCGGAGGTGTTTTAGAATGGTTTTAGGCTTATAAAAGTTGCAGGTTTCCCAGTTCTGGTATGGCCTTCTTCGCGTTCGCGGGAGGACCCTCGCAAACGCGATGAGTAAATATTGCTGAAGGAAACTTCCTTCTACGCGAATGCGTAGACCAGGTCGCGAACGCGAGGCAGCGGGGGGTTATACCTTCGCGAACGCGTCCCTGGCCTCGCGAACGCGAAGGCTAAGTGCCTGGGCAGGGAGAAAGGGTAGTACACCTTACGCGAACATGACCTTAAGGACGCGAACGCGAGGGCTCGAGGAGCTATAGCTTCACGAACACGAGCCCCTGTACGTGAACGCGAAGGCCAAAAAGCCTGACACATCGCGAACGCGAGGGGTCTATCGCGAATGCGAAGAAGAATTTCACCCAGTTATTTTTAAAACCCCAAAATAGAACCATTACGGGAGTTCACCAAAATTTCACAAACTCTTTCTTCTCCAAAGTTCTAGGGCGACTTTTGAAGCATTCTTTCTTCAAAAATTCTTGGGTAAGTAATCTCCAACTCGTTTTCTTCCATTTTCATCAACATCTAATGAATTTCTAGGCCTAAAACATATGATTAAGGGTAGAAAATTAGGGATTTGGGTAGAGTTAGGGCTTTTTGATTTTTCTTGATTAAGACCTCGTTTTGGGGTCGAATTTGAAAACAAAATATATATTCGGGCTCGTGGATGAATGGGTGATTTGATTTTGGTCCGAACCTTGTGTTTTGACCAAGTGGGCCCGGGGTCGATTTTTGAGTTTTTGGGAAGAATGATGGAAAAGCTATAATTAGGCATTGGGTTCGCATTGTTTAGCATTTATTGATGTATTGAAGTCATTTATGTATAGATACCATCAATTTGGAGCCGAATTCGAAAGGAAAGGCGGTTATTGAGGATTGAATTAGCCGTGGAAGTTTGAGGTAAGTGTTCGGTCTAACCCTAGCTTGAGGGATTAGGAGTTGAGTCATATTTGCTATGTGCTTCTTGTTGAGTACGACGTATAGGCATGGTGACGAGTATCTATACGTTGGAGTCGAGCATGACCGTGAGTCTTAAATTGATGCTTGTTGAATTCTTGAATGATGCTATGATGAGTAAATCGGTATTGAGCAAAGGCTTAGCGTGGAAGTTAATTATGAGTTAGAATGATGGTATTAGAGATGATAGGAAGTTGAATTGCGATTGGTTATAGCTGATTGTCCCTTGCCGGGATGGTGTAATCTACAGTTAATCCCTTGCCGGGATTGTTGTTGTGAACACTGTAAGCTATATGTTTGGAACGGGTTGCGCGCCGCAACAGATATTATATATATTGGATCGGGTTGCACGCCGCAACAGATATTATATATGTTGGATCGGGTTGCACGCCGCAATAGATATATTATATTGATTGGATCAGGTTGCACGCCGCAACATATATATATATACATATGGATCGGGTTGCGTGCTGCAACAGTATTATGATTATTATTATTATTATATTGTTTTAGATACGGTACTGTTCCTTCATATTTAATTAGTTTCTGCTAAATTGACTTGTTTCCCCGAAGCATGTACCCCCTCCCTTTTAACTGCTTATTACTTGTTTATTTTTTCGCAATATATTATATAACTGCACAGGTTTATCTGGAGTCTGGTCCTAGCCTCGTCACTACCTCGCCGGGGTTAGGCCAGACACTTACCAGCACATGTGGTCGGTTGTGCTGATACTACGCTCTATACTTATGTACAGATACCGGAGCAGCATATGGTGCGCAGCAGTAGTTCGCGAGCCAGCCTTCAGTCCACGAGATCCCGAGGTAGTCCTGCATGCGTCCGCAGGCCCGGCATCTCTTCTATCTACTTTAATGCACTGTCTCCTTTTTGTACTCGAGACAGATTTTATTTCCTTGTTCAGACACTTGTATGTAGCACTCTTAGTAGTCCGTGGATGTTGTGACACCAGTTCTCGGGTAGAGGCACATGTCGATTTCCGCATTATTGTTCAGTTTATTTAATTTAAGTCTTCCACTTTAAATTTCATATTCCGCTGTTATTTAAATATTTAACGCTTGTTGCTATGATTGATAAAAGGATTTAAAATAAAGGAGTTAGAAGTTTATGATGTGTGGCTTGCCTAGCTTCTACGAGTACGAGCCATCACGACCCCGAGGCTGGGAAATCCGGGTCGTGATAAGTTGGTATCAGAGCTCTAGGTTACATAGGTCTCACAATTCACGGACAAGCTCGGTAGAGTCTGAGGGATTGGTACGGACACGTCTGTATTTATCCCCCAGAGGCTACGGAGTTAGGAAAACTTCACATTTGTTCTTTCTTGTCGTGCGGTTTTGTTTCTCAAATGCTAATTGAATTCCTACTCTGTTCTTTCGCAGATAGCGAGAACTCGCGCTTCCTCATCTACCGCTCAGTAGCCCGAGCCCCCAGCAGCAGCTCCCACGAGGGGCAGAGGGCGAGGCCGAGGCCGTGCTAGAGGCCGAGGTAGGGGCAGAGCTCAGCCCCGAGCAGCAGCACCAGTGGCGGAGCCTCAAGTTGATTTTGACGAGGAGGTTCCAGCCCCAGCAGTTTCGGTGGGCCCAGCTCAGGTCCCAGAGGGGTTTATTGCTACCCAGTTCTTCAGGATGCTCTGGTCCGATTAGTGGGCCTCATGGAGAGTGTCACCCGGGCAGGCTTGCTTCCTGTAGCACCAGCCACTTCTCAGGCTGGAGGAGGAGCCCAGACTCCTGCTACTCGTACTCCGGAGCAGGTAGCTCCCCAGACTCAGACTCCAGCAGTTCAGCCAGTTGGAGCAGCTCAGCCGGGCGTGGTAGCCCAGGCCGGTGATGGAGCAGCTATGTGTGCCGATGCTTTGTGGAGATTGGACAGGTTCACCAAGCTCTTTACTTCTACATTCAGCGGTGCATCTACTGAGGATCCCCAGGATTATCTGGATAGTTGCCACGAGGTTCTTCGGAACATGGGGACTGTTGAGACTAATGGGGTCGATTTTGCTACATTTCGTCTGTCTGGATCCGCCAAGACTTGGTGGAGGGATTATTGCTTAGCTAGGCCAGCAGGATCACCAGCTTTGACATGGGAGCAGTTCACACAGCTATTTCTGGAGAAGTTTCTCCCTATTACTCAGAGAGAGGCCTATCGGAGGCAGTTTGAGCGCCTCTAGCAGGGTTCCATGACGGTCACCCAGTATGAGACCAGGTTCATTGTCTTAGCTCGCCATGCTCTGGTTATACTCCCTACCGAGAGAGAGAGAGGGTTAGGAGGTTTATTGACGACCTTATCCAGCCGATTCGTCTTCAGATGGCTAGGGAGGCTGGGAGTGATATCACTTTTCAGCAGACGGCAAATGTGGCCCGGAGGATTGAGATGGTACTATCACAGGGGGGTGGTCACGGGGCAAACAAGAGGCCCTGTCATTCAGGCAGATTCAGTGGTACCTCGTCTGGAGGTAGAGATTCATATGGTAGAGGCTATCCTCCCAGGCCTTTTCAGTCGGCTCTCCAGGTTTCTCACGGCGCTTCAGGTGGCCGTGGTTCTCGCGGGCAGTATTCTGATCAGCAGACCTACAATGCACCACCAGCTCCTATCAGTGCACCGCCGCTATAAAGCTTTCGGGGTGGTCATTCAGGCCGCCAGGGTCAGTCTCAGTTTCCTCAGCCGCAGTATTCAGGTGGATGTTATGAGTGTGGTGAGTATGGTCATATCCGGAGGGCTTGTCCGAGGTTGGTGGGTACTCAGTCGTAGGAGCAGGGTCCCCATGCTATGATTCAGGCACCAGATGTTCCACAGGCCGCCCATCCAGCTAGAGGCGGGGGTAGAGGTGCTAGAGGGGGAGGTAGAGGATTTAGAGGTGGAGCCCAGACCGCTAGAGGTGGAGGCCAGCCAGCAGCAGGCCGTCCCAGAGAGGTAGATCAGAGTGGTGGGGCCCAGCCCCGATGTTATGCTCTTCAGGCCAGACCCGAGGCAGAGGCTTCAGATGCGGTTATTACAGGTACGGTTCTGGTTTGTGATAGGGATGCTTCAGTGTTGTTTGATCTGGGGTCTACGTATTCGTATGTGTCATCTTATTTTGCCCCGTATTTGGTCATGCCTAGTGATGCATTGGGTATTCCTGTTTATGTGTCTCACCGGTGGGTGATTCTATCGTGGTAGATCGAGTTCATCGTTCTTGTGTTGTGGTGATTGGGGGTCTTGAGACTCGCATAGATTTGTTGCTTCTAGTCATGCCAAGACTGTGACCTTAGCTTTACCGGGTATGCCTCGTTTAGAGTGGAGAGGGACTCCTGGTCATTCTACCCGCAGTGTTATATCGTATGTGAAGGCTCGGCGCATGGTCGAGAAGGGGTGTTTGGCCTATTTAGCCTATGTTCGTGATTCTAGTGTTGAGGTTCCCTCTATTGATTCTGTGCCCGTTGATTGTGAGTTTCTTAATGTTTTCCCTTCAGGCCTGCCGGGTATGCCACCCGACAGGGATATTGACTTCTGCATTGATCTGATTCCGGGCACTCAGCCCATTTCTATCCCGCCATATCGTATGGCCCCGCCGGAGTTGAAGGAGTTAAAGGAACAGTTGCAGGATTTGCTTGAGAAGGGTTTCATTAGGCCCAGTGTTTCGCCTTGGGGTGCGCCGGTGTTATTTGTCAAGAAGAAGGATGGGTCAATGAGAATGTGTATTGATTACCGGCAATTGAACAAGGTTACAATCAAGAATAAGTATCCGCTGCCGAGGATTGATGATTTGTTCGACCAGCTTCAGGGTGCCAGGGTATTTTCCAAGATTGACTTGCGATCTGGCTACCATCAGTTGAGGATTAGGGCATCCGATGTCCCTAAGACATCTTTCCGCACTCGGTACGGGCATTATGAGTTCTTGGTTATGTCATTCGGGTTGACAAATGCCCCAGCAGCTTTCATGGACTTGATGAACCGAGTGTTCAGGCCTTATTTGGACTCGTTCGTGATAGTCTTCATTGATGATATATTGATATATTCCCGCAGCCAGGAGGAGCACGAGCAGCACCTTAGATTGGTTCTTCAGACTCTGAGGGATAGTCGGTTATATGCTAAGTTCTCGAAGTGTGAATTCTGGTTGAGTTCGATTGCATTTCTGGGTCATGTTGTATCAGCAGAGGGTATTCAGGTGGACCCAAAGAAGATTGAGGCAGTCAAGAACTGGCATAGACCAGCATTAGCTACAGAGATTCAGAGTTTCTTGGGGTTGGCAGGCTATTATCGGCAGTTCGTGGAGGGGTTTTCATCTATTACAGCCCCGATGACCAGATTGACCCAGAAGGGTGCCCAGTTCAGATGGTCGGATGAGTGTAAGGCGAGCTTTCAGAAGCTCAAGACAGCTCTAACTACGGCACCGGTGTTAGTTTTGCCCACAGGTTCAGGGCCTTATACAGTCTATTGTGATGCTTCCCGTGTTGGGCTTGGAGCAGTATTGATGCAGGATGGCAAAGTCATTGCCTATGCTTCGAGGCAGTTGAAGGTTCATGAGAAGAACTATCCGGTTCATGATTTGGAGTTGGCAGTCATAGCTCACGCATTGAAGATTTGGAGGCATTATCTGTATGGCGTGGCATGTGAGGTGTTCACGGATCACAAGAGTCTTCAGTACTTGTTCAAGCAAAAGGAGTTGAATTTGAGGCAGAGGAGGTGGTTGGAGTTGTTGAAGGATTATGATATCACCATTTTATATCATCCGAGAAAGGCCAATGTGGTGGCCGATGCTTTGAGTAGGAAGTCAGCCAGTATGGACAGTCTTGCTTATATTCCGGTCGGTGAGAGGCCGCTTGCTTTGGATGTTCAGGCTTTGGCCAATCAGTTCGTGAGACTGGATGTTTCTGAGCCCAGTCGTGTGTTAGCTTGCACGGTCGCTCGTTCTTCATTATTGGAGCGTATCCGTGATCGGCAGTATGATGATCCCCATTTGTGTGTCCTTAGAGACACGGTGCAGCGCAGAGGTGCCAGGCAGGTTACCTTAGATGATGATGGAGTTTTGAGATTGCAGGGTCGAGTATGTGTGCCTAATGTGGATGGGCTCCGAGAGTTGATTTTGGAGGAGGCCCATAGCTCCCGGTACTCTATTCATCCGGGCGCCGCGAAGATGTATCAGGATTTGCGGCAGCATTATTGGTGGCGTAGAATGAAGAAGGATATCGTAGCATATGTGGCTCGTTGTTTGAATTGTCAGCAGGTTAAGTACGAGCATCAGAGGCCTGGTGGTTTATTTCAGAGGATTGAGCTTCCCGAGTGGAAGTGGGAGCGGATCACTATGGACTTTGTTACTGGACTTCCGCTGACTCGGAAGAAGTTCGACGCAGTATGGGTCATTGTTGATAGGCTGACCAAGTCAGCGCATTTCATTCCTGTGGCAGTCTCCTATTCTTCTGAGAGGTTAGCTGAGATCTATATTCGGGAGATTGTTCGCCTTCATGGTGTGCCCGTATCTATCATTTCGGACCGGGGTACGCAGTTTACCGCGTTTCTGGAGAGCAGTTCAGCGAGAGTTGGGCACACGGGTTGAGTTGAGCACAGCATTTCATCCCTAGACGGACGGTCAGTCCGAGCGGACTATTCAGATTTTGGAGGATATGCTCCGAGCTTGTGTTATTGACTTTGGAGGTTCGTGGGATCAGTTTTTGCCTTTAGCAGAGTTTGCCTACAACAACAGCTACCAGTCGAGCATCCAGATGGCTCCTTATGAGGCTTTATATGGTAGGCGGTGTCGGTCTCCGGTTGGATGGTTTGAGCCGGGAGAGGCTCGGTTGTTGGGTACGGATCTGGTTCAGGAGGCCTTGGACAAGGTCAGGATCATTCAGGATAGGCTTCGTTCAGCTCAGTCCAGGAAAAAGAGCTATGCAGACCGCAAGGTTCGAGATGTGGCTTTTATGGTTGGTGAGCGGGTATTGCTCCGAGTGTCGCCTATGAAGGGCGTGATGAGATTTGGGAAGAAGGGCAAGCTTAGCCCTAGGTTCATTGGTCCTTTTGAGATTCTTGATAGAGTGGGAGAGGTGGCTTATAGACTTGCATTGCCGCCGAGCTTATCAGCCGTGCATCCAGTGTTTCATGTGTCCATGCTTCGGAGGTATCACGGCGATCCAGCCCACGTGTTAGATTTCAGCACTGTCCAGTTGGACAAGGACTTGTCTTATGAGGAGGAGCCGGTGGCTATTCTAGACCGGCAGGTTCGTCAGTTGAGGTCGAAGAGTTTTCCTTCTGTTCGTGTTCAGTGGAGAGGTCAGCCTCCTGATGCATCGGCCTGGGAGTCCGAGTCCGATATGTGGAGCCGTTATCCTCGTCTTTTTCCCGACTCAGGTACTTCCTTCTTATGTCCGTTCGAGGCGAACGGTTCTTTTAGAGGTAGAGAATGTGATGACCCAAACGGTCATCACATGTTTTAAATTAAATTCTGTGACTCCGAGGCCTTGAAAACCTCATTTAGAGTCACCTCGTTTTGCGTGCACAGTCCGAGCGCATAGCTGGAAAGCTTAAATATGAAAATCTATGAAAAATGATAAAATTTGGTTATAAAATGAGTTAATTTGACTTCGGTCAACATTTTAGGTAAACGGACCCGAACCCGTGATTTGACGGTCCCGGAGGGTCCGTAGGAAAATATGGGACTCGGGCGTATGCCCGGAATCAAATTCCGAGGTCCCGAGCCCGAGAAATGAATTTTTAAAGGAAATTGTTTTTCTGAAATTGTTAAGGAAAATTGAAATGAAATTTTATTAGAACGTGTTGGTACCGGGCCCGTATTTTGATTCCGGTGCCCGGTACAGGTCTTATATATGATTTAAGATGTTTCTGTAAAATTTGGTGAAAAACTGACGTCGTTTGACGTGATTCGGACTTGAATTGCTAAAGTTGATGTTTTAAGAAGTTTGAGAAAAATGCTTTGGTTTTGAGGTTTAATTGATGATAATGATGTTATTTTGGCGATTTGATTGCACGGATAAGTTCGTATGATGTGGTTGAGTTAGTACATGTGTTTGGTTAGGAGCCCCGAGGGCTCGGGTGTGTTTCGGATGTGTTTCGAGAAGTTTTGAGTTTAAGAAAAGTTGCAGATTTTCTGCAGTCAGTGCCCAGGGATTTTACCCTTCGCGTTCGCGTGGTATCCCTCGCGAACGCGTAAGGCAAAGATCCCAGGTGTCCAGCTTCTTCTTCGCGAACGCGAAGCCACAGTCGCGAACGCGGAGCCTAGGGGGATTGCTCATCGCGAACGCGACCTGTGTGACGTGAACGCGTAAGGTCATGGGGGAGGGGTCACCACTTGTGCATCGCGAATGCGACCACTGGTCCGCGAATGCATAGGCTCGAGGAGTTCCTACTCCGCGAACGCGATCCATTGTCCGCAAACGCGAAGGCTGCCCAGCCTGACCAATCGCGAACGCAAAGGGCAATTTTGCCCAGTTATTTTAAAGTCCCAAAACAGAACCCATTACGGGATTTTCATAAAATTTCATAAACCCTTTCTTCTCCAAAGCTCCTAGGCGATTTTTGAAGCACTTCTTCACCAAAGCTTCTTGGATAAGTAATATTTAACTTGGTTTCTTCATTTTCCATTAACACCCACTAGAATCCTAGGCCTAAAACATGTAATCAAGGGTAGAAAGTTAGGGATTTGGGTAGAACTAGGACTTTTTGATTAATGGTAATTTAGACCTTGTTTTGGGGTCGAATTCTGGAAATAATTATATATTTGGGCTCGTGGGTGAATGGGGGATTTGATTTTGGTCCGAACCTCGTGTTTTGACCAAGCGGGCCCGGGGTCGATTTTTGGGTTTTTGGGAAGAATGATTGGAAAGCTATAATTAGGCATTGGATTCGAATTGTTTAGCATTATTTGATGTTATGAAGTCATTTATGTATAGATACAATTGATTTGGAGCCGAATTCGAAAGGAAAGGCGGTAATCGAGGAGTGAGTTGGCCGTGAAAGTTTGAGGTAAGTGTTCGGTCTAACCTTAGCTTGAGGGATTAGGAGTTGAGTCATATTTGCTACTTGTTTCTTGTTGAGTACGACGTATAGGCATGGTGACGAGTATCTATACGTTGGTGTCGAGCATGACCGTGAGTCTTAAATTGATACTTGTTGTATTCTT